CCCTACCGTGTCTCCTACCGTGTCTCCGCTCCCCTACCGTGTCTCCTACCGTGTCTCCGTCCCCCTACCGTGTCTCCGCTCCCCTACCGTGTCTCTGGCCCCCTACCGTGTCTCCTACCGTGTCTCCGCTCCCCTACCATGTCTCCGCTCCCCTACCGTGTCTCCGGCCCCCTACCGTGTCTCCGCTCCCCTACCGTGTCTCCGGCCCCCTACCGTGTCTCCGCTCCCCTACCGTGTCTCTGGCCCCCTACCGTGTCTCCGCTCCCCTACCGTGTCTCCTACCGTGTCTCCGCTCCCCTACCATGTCTCCGCTCCCCTACCGTGTCTCCGCTCCCCTACCGTGTCTCCGCTCCCCTACCGTGTCTCCGCTTTCCTACCGTGTCTCCGCTCCCCTACCGTGTCTCCGGCCCCCTACCGTGTCTCCGGTCCCCTACCGTGTCTCCGCTCCCCTACCGTGTCTCCGCTCCCCTACCGTGTCTCCGGCCCCCTACCGTGTCTCCGCTCCCCTACCGTGTCTCCGCTCCCCTACCATGTCTCCGCTCCCCTACCGTGTCTCCGGCCCCTACCGTGTCTCCGCTCCCCTACCGTGTCTCCGCTCCCCTACCGTGTCTCCGCTCCCCTACCGTGTCTCCGCTCCCCTACCGTGTCTCCGCTCCCCTACCGTGTCTCCCTCCCCTACCGTGTCTCCGCCCCCTACCGTGTCTCCGGCCCCCTACCGTGTCTCCGCTCCCCTACCATGTCTCCGCTCTCCTACCGTGTCTACGCTCCCTACCGTGTCTCCGCTCCCCTACTGTGTCTCCGCTCCCTACCATGTCTCCGCTCCCCTACCAGTGTCTCCTACCGTTTCTCCGGCCCCCTACCGTGTCTCCGCTCCCTACCATGTCTCCGCTCCCCTACCGTGTCTCCGCTCCCCTACCGTGTCTCCCTACCGTGTCTCCGGCCCCCTACCGTGTTTCCGCTCCCTACCATGTCTCCGCTCCCTACCGTGTCTCCGCTCCCCTACCGTGTCTCCGCTCCCCTACCGTGTCTCCGCTCCCCTACCGTGTCTCCGCTCTCCTACCGTGTCTCCGCTCTCCTACCGTGTCTCCGCTCCCTACCGTGTCTCCGCTCCCCTACCGTGTCTCCGCTCCCTACCGTGTCTCCGCTCCCCTACCGTGTCTCCGCTCCCCTACCGTGTCTCCGCTCCCCTACCGTGTCTCCGCTCCCCTACCGTGTCTCCGCTCCCTACCGTGTCTCCGCTCCCCTACCGTGTCTCCGCTCCCCTACCGTGTCTCCGCTCCCTACCGTGTCTCCGCTCCCCTACCGTGTCTCCGCTCCCCTACCGTGTCTCCGCTCTCCTACCGTGTCTCCGCTCCCCTACCGTGTCTCCGCTCCCCTACCGTGTCTCCGCTCCCCTACCGTGTCTCCGCTCCCCTACCGTGTCTCCGCTCCCCTACCGTGTCTCCGCTCCCCTACCGTGTCTCCGCTCCCCTACCGTGTCTCCGCTCCCCTACCGTGTCTCCGCTCCCCTACCGTGTCTCCGCTCCCCTACCGTGTCTCCTACCGTGTCTCCGCTCCCTACCATGTCTCCGCTCCCCTACCGTGTCCCCTACCGTGTCTCCGCTCCCCTACCGTGTCTCCGCTCCCCTACCATGTCTCCGCTCCCCTACCGTGTCTCCTACCGTGTCTCCGGCCCCCTACCGTGTCTCCGCTCCCCTACCGTGTCTCCGCTCCCCTACCGTGTCCCCTACCGTGTCTCCGCTCCCCTACCGTGTCTCCGCTCCCCTACCGTGTCCCCTACCGTGTCTCCGCTCCCCTACAGTGTCTCCGTTCCCCTACCGTGTCTCTGGCCCCCTACCGTGTCTCCGCTCCCCTACCGTGTCCCCTACCGTGTCTCCGCTCCCCTACAGTGTCTCCGTTCCCCTACCGTGTCTCCGCTCCCCTACCGTGTCTCCGCTCCCCTACCGTGTCTCCGGCCCCCTACCGTGTCTCCGCTCACCTACCGTGTCTCCGCTCCCCTACCGTGTCTCCGCTCCCCTACCGTGTCTCCGGCCCCCTACCGTGTCTCCGCTCCCCTACCGTGTCTCCGCTCCCCTACCGTGTCTCCGCTCCCCTACCGTGTCTCCGCCCCTACCGTGTCTCCGCTCCCCTACCGTGTCTCCGCTCCCCTACCGTGTCTCCGCTCCCCTACCGTGTCTCCGCTCCCCTACCGTGTCTCCTACCGTGTCTCCGGCCCCCTACCGTGTCTCCGGCCCCCTACCGTGTCTCCGCTCCCCTACCATGTCTCCACTCTCCTACCGTGTCTACGCTCCCTACCGTGTCTCCGCTCCCCTACCGTGTCTCCGCTCCCCTACCATGTCTCCGCTCCCCTACCGTGTCTCCTACCGTGTCTCCGGCCCCCTACCGTGTCTCCGCTCCCCTACCATGTCTCCGCTCCCCTACCGTGTCTCCGCTCCCCTACCGTGTCTCCTACCGTGTCTCCGGCCCCCCTACCGTGTTTCCGCTCCCCTACCATGTCTCCGCTCCCTACCGTGTCTCCGCTCCCCTACCGTGTCTCCGCTCCCCTACCGTGTCTCCGCTCCCCTACCGTGTCTCCGCTCTCCTACCGTGTCTCCGCTCTCCTACTGTGTCTCCGCTCCGGCCCTACCGTGTCTCCGCTCCCCTACCGTGTCTCCGCTCCCCTACCGTGTCTCCGCTCCCCTACCGTGTCTTCGCTCCCCTACCGTGTCTCCGCTCCCCTACCGTGTCTCCGCTCCCTACCGTGTCTCCGCTCCCCTACCGTGTCTCCGCTCCCTACCGTGTCTCCGCTCCCTACCGTGTCTCCGCTCCCCTACCGTGTCTCCGCTCCCCTACCGTGTCTCCGCTCTCCTACCGTGTCTCCGCTCCCCTACCGTGTCTCCGCTCCCCTACCGTGTCTCCGCTCCCCTACCGTGTCTCCGCTCCCCTACCGTGTCTCCGCTCCCCTACCGTGTCTCCGCTCTCCTACCGTGTCTCCGCTCCCCTACCGTGTCTCCGCTCCCCTACCGTGTCTCCGCTCCCCTATCGTGTCTCCGCTCCCCTACCGTGTCTCCGCTCCCCTACCGTGTCTCCTACCGTGTCTCCGCTCCCTACCATGTCTCCGCTCCCCTACCGTGTCCCCTACCATGTCTCCGCTCCCCTACCGTGTCTCCGCTCCCCTACCATGTCTCCGCTCCCCTACCGTGTCTCCTACCGTGTCTCCGGCCCCCTACCGTGTCTCCGCTCCCCTACCGTGTCTCCGCTCCCCTACCGTGTCCCCTACCGTGTCTCCGCTCCCCTACCGTGTCTCCTACCGTGTCTCCGCTCCCTACCATGTCTCCGCTCCCCTACCGTGTCCCCTACCATGTCTCCGCTCCCCTACCGTGTCTCCGCTCCCCTACCGTGTCTCCGCTCCCCTACCGTGTCTCCGGCCCCCTACCGTGTCTCCGCTCCCCTACCGTGTCTCCGCTCCCCTACCGTGTCTCCGCTCCCCTACCGTGTCTCCGGCCCCTACCGTGTCTCCGCTCCCCTACCGTGTCTCCGCTCCCCTACCGTGTCTCCGCTCCCCTACCGTGTCTCCGCTCCCCTACCGTGTCTCCTACCGTGTCTCCGGCCCCCTACCGTGTCTCCGGCCCCCTACCGTGTCTCCGCTCCCCTACCATGTCTCCACTCTCCTACCGTGTCTACGCTCCCTACCGTGTCTCCGCTCCCCTACCGTGTCTCCGCTCCCCTACCATGTCTCCGCTCCCCTACCGTGTCTCCTACCGTGTCTCCGGCCCCCTACCGTGTCTCCGCTCCCCTACCATGTCTCCGCTCCCCTACCGTGTCTCCGCTCCCCTACCGTGTCTCCTACCGTGTCTCCGGCCCCCTACCGTGTTTCCGCTCCCCTACCATGTCTCCGCTCCCTACCGTGTCTCCGCTCCCCTACCGTGTCTCCGCTCCCCTACCGTGTCTCCGCTCCCCTACCGTGTCTCCGCTCTCCTACCGTGTCTCCGCTCTCCTACTGTGTCTCCGCTCCCCTACCGTGTCTCCGCTCCCCTACCGTGTCTCCGCTCCCCTACCGTGTCTCCGCTCCCCTACCGTGTCTCCGCTCCCCTACCGTGTCTTCGCTCCCCTACCGTGTCTCCGCTCCCCTACCGTGTCTCCGCTCCCTACCGTGTCTCCGCTCCCCTACCGTGTCTCCGCTCCCCTACCGTGTCTCCGCTCCCTACCGTGTCTCCGCTCCCCTACCGTGTCCTCCGCTCCCCTACCGTGTCTCCGCTCTCCTACCGTGTCTCCGCTCCCCTACCGTGTCTCTCCGCTCCCCTACCGTGTCTCCGCTCCCCTACCGTGTCCTCCGCTCCCCTACCGTGTCTCCGCTCCCCTACCGTGTCTCCGCTCTCCTACCGTGTCTCCGCTCCCTACCGTGTCTCCGCTCCCCTACCGTGTCTCCGCTCCCCTATCGTGTCTCCGCTCCCCTACCGTGTCTCCGCTCCCCTACCGTGTCTCCTACCGTGTCTCCGCTCCCTACCATGTCTCCGCTCCCCTAACCGTGTCCCCTACCATGTCTCCGCTCCCCTACCGTGTCTCCGCTCCCCTACCATGTCTCCCGCTCCCCTACCGTGTCTCCTACCGTGTCTCCGGCCCCCTACCGTGTCTCCGCTCCCCTACCGTGTCTCCGCTCCCCTACCGTGTCCCCTACCGTGTCTCCGCTCCCTACCGTGTCTCCTACCGTGTCTCCGCTCCCTACCATGTCTCCGCTCCCCTACCGTGTCCCCTACCATGTCTCCGCTCCCCTACCGTGTCTCCGCTCCCCTACCATGTCTCCGCTCCCCTACCGTGTCTCCTACCGTGTCTCCGGCCCCCTACCGTGTCTCCGCTCCCCTACCGTGTCTCCGCTCCCCTACCGTGTCCCCTACCGTGTCTCCGCTCCCCTACCGTGTCTCCGCTCCCCTACCGTGTCTCCGCTCCCCTACCGTGTCTCTGGCCCCCTACCGTGTCTCCGCTCCCCTACCGTGTCCCCTACCGTGTCTCCGCTCCCCTACCGTGTCTCCGCTCGGGGGAGTTGCTGCGTGAGCTGTCGCTGGAGTCTGAGTCCCGGCCACGCTTCGGGCTGTCGGGTACATCTGGAAAGGTCTATGAGCACACACACACACAAGCACACACACACACACGCGCACACAGACACACACGCGCACACACACACACATACACGCACACATACACACACACACGCACACATACACACACACACACGCACACACATACACACGCACGCAAGCGCACATACACGCACGCAGGCCTAGGTGTACATGGGTGGTAAGGTAGATGGAACGGTGGGGTGGTGGAGTTGTAGAGTGGTGGAGCGGAGTGGTGGAGTGGCATGGCTGAGTAGAGCGGTCGGGTGGAGTGGTGGGGTGGAGTAGTGGAGCTGGGTGGTTGAGTGGCGTGGCTAAGTGGAGCGGTGGGGTGGAGCGGTGGGGTGGAGCGGTGGGGTGGAGCGGTGGGGTGGAGCGGTGGGGTGGAGCGGTGGGGTGGAGCGGTGGAGCTGAGTGGTTGAGTGGCGTGGTGGGGTGGAGCAGTGGAGCTGGGTGGTTGATTGGAGCGGTGGGGTGGAGCGGTGGGGTGGAGCGGTGGGGTGGAGCGGTGGGGTGGAGCAGTGGGGTGGAGCGGTGGGGTCGGGCGGTGGGGTGGAGCGGTGGGGTGAAGCGGTGGGGTGGAGCGGTGGGGTGGAGCGGTAGGGTGGAGCGGCGGGGTGGAGCAGTGGGGTGGAGCAGTGGGGTGGCGCGGGCCCCACCTCCAGGTGGGTGCACACTGCGCGCAGCACCTTCAGCGTCGTCTCCCGTGACAGCAGCGACACGAACGTGTGCTGGGGAGACACGGGCAGCACACGCCGCAAACGCGGCCGTCAAGCAGCAACGTCACTCGTCGGGTGGAGGTGGTGGGGGGCGGGGGGGGGCAGGGGGGGCGGGTGGAGGTGGTGGGGGGCGGGGGGGGCGGGGGGGGGCGGGGGGGGCCACAGAGAGGCCGCGAGGAGACGACGTCTCGACAGGAACCTCGAGAAACGTGAACGGGCCGCTCGCACATTCCCCGGCGCCGAGGGTCATCTCCTCCGCGGTTGCCGAGGTCGTTGCCGTGGCGGCGGTGGGGTGGCGGTCGTTACCGTGGCGGTGGTCGTTACCGTGGCGGCGGTCATTACCGTGGCGGCGGTGGGGCGGAGGTTGTTACCGTGGCGGTGGTCGTTACCGTGGCAGCAATCGTTACCGTGGCGGTGGTCGTTACCGTGGCAGCAATCGTTACCGTGGCGGTGGTCGTTACCGTGGCGGCGGTCATTACCGTGGCGGCGGTGGGGCGGAGGTCGTTACCGTGGTGGTGGTCGTTACCGTGGCAGCAATCGTTACCGTGGCGGTGGTCGTTACCGTGGCAGCAATCGTTACCGTGGCGGTGGTCGTTACCGTGGCAGTGGTCGTTACCGTGGCGGTGGTCGTTACCGTGGCGGTGGTCGTTACCGTGGCGGTGGTCGTTACCGTGGCGGTGGTCGTTACCGTGGCAGCAATCGTTACCGTGGCGGTGGTCGTTACCGTGGCGGTGGTCGTTACCGTGGCGGTGGTCGTTACCGTGGCGGTGGTCGTTACCGTGGCGGTGGTCGTTACCGTGGCGGTGGTCGTTACCGTGGCGGTGGTCGTTACCGTGGCGGTGGTCGTTACCGTGGCGGTGGTCGTTACCGTGGCGGTGGTGGTGGTGATCCGCACAGCGTTGGGCACGAGCCGCGCCGTCTTGTCCTTGTGAATGGCCGTCACCTCGCAGACCGGCACCGCGATCTGCATACAGCCGCAGTGGCAAGATGTTGACAACCTCGCCTGGTGCGCAGGAGGTCGTGGGTTCAATCCCGACCCTGACGCCTGCTGCTGTATATTTGGAGTTTGCGTGTCTCTCTTTCATCATCATCATCACGGTGGCTAGGAGATGTTAACTACCTCGCCTGGTATACAGGAGGTCGTGGGTTCAATCCCGACCCTGGCGCCTGCTGCTGTATATTTGGAGTTTGCGTGTCTCTCTTTCATCATCATCATCACGGTGGCTAGGAGATGTTAACTACCTCGCCTGGTATACAGGAGGTCATGGGTTCAATCCCGACCCTGGCGCCTGCTGCTGCTGCTGTATATTTGGAGTTTGTGTGTCTCTCTCTCCCCCGTGGTCGCGTGGACTTTTCTCCGGGCTCCTCCCATTTTACGTATTTGGCCGCTATAAATTTCCACGTGATGATAAGACACTTCGTTGAGCCGTCATTTGTGGTAGCCAGGTGGCTTCTGAAAAATAAACTACACACAGTTTCACAGCGGCATGGCCTTCATCAGGCGCTCGGAGAGCGAACGCACCACTCCCGCATGGCACCCCAGTGAGTACGTGCCCTCCCGTGCCCTCTCGTGCCCACTCGTGTCCCTCTCGTGGCGAATTCATGCCCGTGTGCGTGGACCCCGGAGTGAGTGGGGCCCCCACTGCACCTTCATGCTTTTCCCAAAGAGGTTGGCGTGGAAGCAGATCCAAGACTTGGAGACAAAGAGCCGGCCCTGGTAAACAATGTCCTTTTGCAGGGCGCACGTGTACGCTGATGCACACGACACGCAACACAACACAACACAACACGCAACACAACACGCAACACAACACGCAACACAACACGTGGTCATTCATTGACCCATCAACTACAATGCAAACTTCTTAAACCGCAGAGCAAACCCGGACATGCTGCTCAGTCAGTCGAGGTCTGTCCTCAAAACCGAGCGGTTAACACAATTCCATCGGCAGATCTCGACTTCTTATAAATTCCCCGCCACCCAAACACAGAACGGCACCACGTTGGCTAGGAGATGTCAACTTTCTCGCCCGGTATGCAGGAGGTCGTGGGTTCGATCCCAACCCTGACGCCTGCTGCTGCTGCTGTATATTTGGAGTTTGCGTGTGTCTCTTTCTCTCCCCGTGGTGGCGTGGATTTTTCTCCGGGTCCTCCGGTTTTTCTCTCCACATTTAGAATCAACATCACGCGATTAGAATTTTCGGCTGCGATACATTTCCACGTGGTGATGAGCCCCCATTTCGTTGAGCTATCATTTGTGGTAGCCAGCTCGCTTCTGAAAAAAAGCTGTGTAATAGCCCAGTGGGGCCTTACCTGGTAAAATAAACAAAAATGTTTATAGTTTAGTTTTAATAGGTGCCAATTCCCCGGTCAGGTGGTCACCCTCCTGCAGGCTGACGTCACGGGCGCCAGAATGTCTCCTCATTTGCGTATCTCCGTCTTTCCACGTAAAACATAAAAGTGTTTCGATTTAAAGCTTTCGTGACTGCAGGGATTAATCTTCTTAGTTCTTTCAGTAAAGTCACGTAGAAGGGAAATAATAAAAGAATAAAAATAAAACAAAATCAAATAATTCTCACGACGCTTCGGCCACAACGCAAGCAGCCGTCTTCAGGTGAAGAACAGGTCAAGACGAGCAAACTCTGGGCCGGTTTCGACACGCAGTGTCTCATCAGCATGGTCAGGCCGAACTCTCGCTGTAAGCGGCAGGGTGCTGGGGCTTTCTCCACGTCCTCCAGCCTCCTCGCACAAGCAGCCGCACTTGACGTATGTCACAAAAACGAAGAGCTTTCTAGCTCATCGGATTTCTTGCAGGATCAATAAAGATTCGGACTCATTCTCCGGAACGAAGTACAACTCTCGATTTAAAGCTTTCGTGACTGCAGGGATTCATCTTCTTGGTTCTTTCGGTAAAGTCACGTAGAATGGAAATAATAAAATAAAACATAATAAAATAATCCTCACGACGTTTCGGCCACAACGCAAGCAGCCGTCTTCAGGTGAAGAACAGGTCTGTCGGGAAGACAACGTCGTGAGAATTATTTTATTATGTTTTATTTTATTATTTTATTATTTTCCTTCTACGTGACTTTACCGAAAGAACCAAGAAGATAAAAGTGTTTCCTACACAACCCATCAGCTGCACGGCCTTCTGGGAGTCATCTTCTTCTTCCGTATGGCATTTTTGGCAAACGCAACAGATTACAAATCCATGTCGAGATTTGATATCCCACTTGACCGCTTCGGAAGTAACCGCCGCGTGGGTTTGTTTCAGATCGTCATTGAACGATCCGACTGGGGGCAGTCCGTTCACGATTGGGGCAGTCTGTTCACGATTGGGGCAGTCTGTTCACGATTGGGGTAGTCTGTTCACGATTGGGGTAGTCTGTTCACGATTGGGGTAGTCTGTTCACGATTGGGGCAGTCTGTTCACGATTGGGGTAGTCTGTTCACGATTGGGGCAGTCTGTTCACGATTGGGGCAGTCTGTTCACGATTGGGGTAGTCTGTTCACGATTGGGGCAGTCTGTTCACGATTGGGGCAGTCTGTTCACGATTGGGGTAGTCTGTTCACGATTGGGGCAGTGTTCACGATTGGGGTAGTCTGTTCACGATTGGGGTAGTCTGTTCACGATTGGGGCAGTCCGTTCACGATTGGGGCAGTCTGTTCACGATTGGGGCAGTCTGTTCACGATTGGGGTAGTCTGTTCACGATTGGGGCAGTCTGTTCACGATTGGGGCAGTCTGTTCACGATTGGGGTAGTCTGTTCACGATTGGGGCAGTGTTCACGATTGGGGTAGTCTGTTCACGATTGGGGTAGTCTGTTCACGATTGGGGCAGTCTGTTCACGATTGGGGTAGTCCGTTCACGATTGGGGCAGTCCGTTCACGATTGGGGCAGTCTGTTCACGATTGGGGTAGTCTGTTCACGATTGGGGTAGTCTGTTCACGATTGGGGTAGTCCGTTCACGATTGGGGCAGTCCGTTCACGATTGGGGCAGTCCGTTCACGATTGGGGCAGTCCGTTCACGATTGGGGCAGTCTGTTCACGATTGCGGCAGTCTGTTCACGATGTGAATTTGTTCCTTCTGGGAGTGCTGCACTGTTTTCAAGACAGGCAAAGCTGTGGAACCGGTTTTAACATGCAGCGTCCCACCTTCTCGAGTGAGTGCTGGTGAACTGCCGAGCTTAGGGGCAAGGGACCCCACCACCCTCTTTGTGCTGCGAAGTTCGAGGAAAAACAAAAATTGGTTGAGCGACACGAAACTCGAAAGCAGGTGGGGCGAGCGCGTCAACGAGAGAGTCCGACTCACTATCGACGAGCTCCTCTTGGTGAGAGATGCTTTTGAAGAGCTTGTGGAATTGCCTGTTGTGCTTTTTGGGAGGCTGAGCAGACGGGGAGAGACAAGGGGGGGGGCAAGGGGGGGTGAACCGTGAGTTACCTTTTAGCTATCGCCGTCGCTCACCCACAGCAGTCGCCATGCTCGCACATCGCACCGTGCTATGTCCCCCCCGTCAGGAGATCGAACCGGTGACCTCCCAGTTTCCACCAACGTTCATACGCAGGGCGCTTAAAAAAAATGTTAACACTTCGGAGAATTTGCAACAATCCCACGGGAAATGTGCCTCCGGTCTCTGGAGATCCACCAGGCGTGCGTTGACGATGATAAGAAAGAAGTGGAGACTTTTTGAAGCTATTAACATATACGTAAGTGTTAACATTTTTTTAAAGCACCCTGTTTATGTAAAAGAAACTCATCATGGATTGGCAGAAAACATCTTTTAAAAAAAAATTAAATTTCAAATAAATAAACTCTTTTTTTATTTCACCAAGCAAGGCCCATTGTAGCTCTTTTTCAGAAGCGACCTGGCCACAAGTGATATCTGAACCAAGTGGCTCATCGTCATCACGAGCAAACTTACAACAGCCGAATACTCGAGACGCACGACGTCGATTCTAAATGTGGAGGGGGAAAACCGGAGGACACCCGGAGAAAAAAATCCACGCGACCACGAGGAGAGAGAAAGAGAGAGAGACGCGGAAACTCCAAATACGCAGCAGCAGGCGTCGGGGTCGGGATCGAACCCACGACCTCCTGCATACCGGGCGAGGTAGTTGACAGCTCCTAGCCACCGTATCGGCCAATCAACGCAGCACCAGGACCCTTTTGATACAAAACTAAACTCAACGCGTATTCATCTTCTTGGTTCTTTCGGTAAAGTCACGTAGAAGGGAAATAATAAAATAATAAAAATAAAACATACTAAAATACAATTCTCACGACGTCTCGGCCACAACGCAAGCAGCCGTCCTCAGGTGAAGAATGAAACACCACCAAGCTTGGAGCGTATAACCCAGATTAAATATACGCTCCAAGCTTGGTGGTGTTTCATTCTTCACCTGAGGACGGCTGCTTGCGTTGTAGCTGAAACGTCGTGAGAATTATTTGATTATGTTTTATTTTTATTATTTTATTATTTCCCTTCTACGTGACTTTACCGAAAGAACCAAGAAGATGAATCCCTGCAGTCACGAAAGCTTTAAATCGAAACTCAACCCGTATTGCCATACTTCTGGCAGAAGGGCCTCTGTAGGGAGCTTCGGAGAGCCTCTCCCGTCGACTGAATTGTGGCCTCCGCGTCCACGCCGTCCAGACGGACTACCCACACTTTACCCCACCGCTCGCCACCTGCCGATCGCGCTGCCCACGGCTAACCCGCGTACACTGCGTGGCGGGCGAGGGGGATGTAAGCAACGCGCGCCATTGAGTCGGCTGCCGCGCCGGGAGATCGAACCGATGAGCTCACGTGCAGCCCTGTTTGTGCATTCGCGCGCGTCACGGGGACGGGCGCCACTCACGGTGATGGACATGTGCCTCCTCGTGTCGAATTCCTCCGATGGGACCGGGTCCAGGGTTTTTGCGCTGAAACGGAGCACGCACGTACAGACACATACAGACACATGTACAGACACACGTACAGACACACGTACAGACACACACAAACACACGTACAGACACACAGACACACGTACAGACACATAAAGACACACGTACAGACACACGTACAGACACATACAGACACACGTACAGACACACACAAACACACGTACAGACACACGTACAGACACATACAGACACACATACAGACACATACAGACACACGTACAGACACACGTACAGACACACGTACAGACACACGTACAGACACACACACAGACGTACAGACACACGTACAGACACACACACAGACATACAGACACACGTACAGACACACGTACAGACACACGTACAGACACACGTACAGACACACACAGACACACGCACAGACACATACAGACACACGTACAGACACACATACAGACACATACAGACACACGTACAGACACACGTACAGACACACGTACAGACACACGTACAGACACGCACACAGACGTACAGACACACATACAGACACACGTACAGACACACGTACAGACACACGTACAGACACACGTACAGACACACACAGACACACGCACAGACACATACAGACACACGTACAGACACACATACAGACACACGCACACACATACAGACACACGTACAGACACATACAAATACACGTACAGACACACGTACAGACAATAACAACCGCCATTCTGCCACTAAATGGCGGTGACGTCACCACGTCGCTTGTGCCAGGCTATGTGCACGTTGAGGCCACGTGAAGCGTCGAATGCCCGCTGGCAGGAGGTCACGGGGCAGACCCAGCAGTTGCCACGGGTCGGCTGACTGAGATGAGTGGCCAATGCACCACTTGTGCCCACGACTGTGCCAACTTGCTGTGCTTTAGCCACCCGGCGCTCCGCTCATTGTGAGCGTCGCTCCTCCGCCCTCCGTTGTTGTTGGAAGGCGACTGCCTCCAACTGCCCAGGAGCATCCTTCACGAGCCTCCTCCACAGAGGCCGATCTTGACACCGCTGGTACCAGTCATTGGCAAGTCCACTCAGCTCCACGTCCTCCTGTACCACATCACTCCATCTCTTCTCTAGCCCGTGCCACTCACTCACCCATCACTCCATCTCTACTCGAGCCCGTGCTGCGCCCGTTTAGCCCCCTCTGTCTGGCCTAACAGAAGCTGCTTGGGCATGTGGGTGACATGACCCAGCCAACTCAGCCATGCCTGTCGGAGGAGCTCACTGATGGGCATATATCCAGATCTTTCAAGGATTTGTGAGCTCCTCACACAATATAGCCTGGTTAAACCCAGGATGGATTGTAGGCAGGCCAGACTGAATGTTTAGAACCGGCGCAGATGTTCCATTAGAGGGGACCATGCTTCGCAAGCGTAGAGAAGGGAGGGCATGACTGTGGCCGAGAAGACCCGAAGCTTTGTGTGGAGCGACAGGCCGGGCAGCTTCCACACAGCATTACGCAGCCGATGAAAAGATGTCGCTCGACTGATTCGGAGCAGGACCTCTGCTGTCAAACGGGAGCCACTCATGAGCACACTGCCCAGGTATGGACAACTCTTCACTCTCTCCAACAACTGCTCCATCACCAATGGGGAGTTGGCAGGTGCTGAGTTTCGGTGGGGCTGATGGTAAGACCCCACCTCCAAGTGGCACACTCTGGGTGCAGCAGCAGCAGCACCTCCACGCCAACACAAAATACAAAGATCCCCCGTGTAGCCTAACAGGCTGTTGGGGCAAGTGCTGTTAGCGAGCACCTATGAAGGCCGGCACGGTACACGAGGGGGTGGGTGGCCAGCACCACGCCCGGCCGCCTTTGTCTCCCTAACCACTACACTACCACTCCACATTCACGTGCATAGAGACACAGACACACAGCGACACACACACAGACACACAAAGACACACACACAACAACCGCCATTCGCCACTAAGTGGCGATGACGTCACCACAACGCTTGTGCCAGGCCAAGTGCACCTTGAGGCCACGTGAAGTGTCGAACGCCCAATGGCAGGAGGTCACGGGGCAGACCCAGCAGGTGCCACGGGTCGACTGACCGAGATGACCGAGATGACTGGCTGATGCACCACCTGTGCCCCCTACTGTACCAACTTGCTGTGCTTTAGCCACCCGGCACTCCGCTCGTTGTTGTGAGCGTCGCTCCTCCGCCCTCCGTTGTTGTTGGAGAGCGACTGCCTCCAACTGCCCAGTAGCGTCCTTCACGAGCCTCCTCCACTGAGGCCGATCTTGACACCGCTGGTACCAGTCTTCGGCAAGTCCACTCAGCTCCACGTCCTCCTGTACCACATCACTCCATCTCTTCTCTAGCCCGTTCTGCGCCCGTTTAGCCCCCTCGATCCGGTCGAACAAAGGCTGTTTAGGCATGCGGTGGCTGGGCATGCGGGCTACATGACCCAGCCAACGCAGCCTTGCCTGCCGGAGGAGCTCACCGATCGGACTTTGCCCAGATCTTTCAAGGATTTGTGAGCTCCTCACACAATCCAGCCTGGTTAAACCCAAGATGGATCGTAGGCAGGCCAGCCTAAATGTTTCCAGCCGGCAAAGATGTTCCATTAGGGGGGTCCACGTTTCGCAAGCGTAGAGAAGGGAGGGAATGACCGTGGCCGAGAAGACCTGAAGCTTCGTGCGGAGCGACAGACCAGGTAGCTTTCACACAGCGTTACGCAACCGATGAAAAGATATTGCCGCTCGACTGATTCGGAGTGAGACCTCTGCTGATAAACTGGAGCCGGTCATGAGCACACTGCCCAGGTATTGGAAACTCTCCACTCTCTCCACAACTGCCCCATCACCGATTGGGAGTTGTGGGGGTGGAGTGTCCGATGGTACACAGACACAGACACACACAGCCACACGGAGACACACACAGACACAGAGACACACGCACAGAGACACACACGCACACAGATACACACACGCACACAGACACACACACAGACACACACGCACGCACACAGATACGCACACACAGACACACAGAGACACACACGCACACAGATACACACACGCACACAGACACACACACAGACACACACGCACGCACACAGATACGCACACACAGACACACAGAGACACACACGCACACAGATACACACACGCACACAGACACACACACAGACACACACGCACGCACACAGATACGCACACACAGACACACAGAGACACACACGCACACAGATACACACACGCACACAGACACACACACAGACACACACGCACGCACACAGATACGCACACACAGACACACAGAGACACACACGCACACAGATACACACACGCACACAGACACACACACAGACACACACGCACGCACACAGACACACACGCACGCACACAGATACGCACACACAGACACACAGAGACACACACGCACACAGATACACACACGCACACAGACACACACGCACACACAGACACACAGAGACACACACGCACACAGACACACACACAGATACACACGCACGCACACAGATACGCACACACAGACACACAGAGACACACACGCACACAGATACACACACGCACACAGACACACACACAGACACACACGCACGCACACAGATACGCACACACAGACACACAGAGACACACACGCACACAGATACACACACGCACACAGACACACACACAGACACACACGCACGCACACAGATACGCACACACAGACACACACGCACACAGATACACACACGCACACAGACACACACACAGACACACACACAGACACACACGCACGCACACAGATACGCACACACAGACACACAGATACACACACGCACACACACACACACAGACACACACGCACGCACACACAGACACACAGAGACACACACGCACACAGATACACACACGCACACAGACACACACGCACACAGACACACACACAGACACACACGCACGCACACAGATACGCACACACAGACACACAGAGACACAGAGAGACACACACTGCGAGACAGAGAGACACACACTGCGAGACACACACAGAGACACACACGCACACAGAGACACACACGCACACAGACACACACACGCACACAGATACACACACGCACACAGAGACACACACGCACACAGACACACACACGCACACAGACACACACACGCACACAGACACACACACGCACACAGATACACACACGCACACAGATACACACAGAGACACAGAGACACACACAGAGAGACACGCGGCGAGACACACACAGACACACATAGACACAAAGATACACACAGACACACAGAAACACAAACACAGCGAGAGACAGAGAGAGACACACAGAGACACACGCAGACACACTGCGAGACACACACACACAGACACACAGAGACACACACACACACTGCAACACACACACACGCGTGTGTATGTCACGGCTTGCCGCGTGTTATACTAATTATATAATTATATTTTTATTATTATCGCCGTCGCTCTCGCTGCACCCGAGCGGGCGGCTCCGTGCGCCTCTCTCTGCAGGAGTCGTGACTCGTCACCGCGTCACGAAGCCACCCGACAGGTCGAGCCGGGTGAGGGGGGGCGATTGACGCCTGGGGGGGGGGGGGCGTGTGGCGAGGTGGGGGGGGGGCGTGAGGTGGGGGGTGCGTGAGGTGGGGGGGCGTGAGGTGGGGGGGGTGAGGCGAGGTGGGGGGGAGGGGTGACGAGGTGGGGGGGGCCGGGACTCTAGAGGGGTTCTCTCCTCGTGTTGAGGACTCGGTCGAGAAGACTGCCGCTGTTTCGCCTCAGCCACCACCACCACCCTGCACATCACTTACTCACTCACCCACTCACTCACCCACTCACTCACCCAACACACTGCACATCACAAACTCACCCACTCACTCACCCACTCACTCACCCACCCACTCACCCACTCACTCACTCATCCACTCACTCACTCATCCACTCATCCACTCACTTATCCACTCACTCATCCACCCACTCACTCACCCACTCACTCACTCACCCACTCACTCACCCACTCACTCACCCACTCATCCACTCACTCACTCACCCACCCACTCACCCACCACACTGCACATCACAAACTCACCCACCCACCCACTCACTCACCCACTACCACCACCACCCTGCACATCACAAACTCACCCACTCACTCACCCACTCACTCACCCACTCACTCACTCACTCACCCACTCACTCACTCATCCACTCACTTATCCACTCACTCATCCACCCACTCACTCACTCACCCACTCACTCACTCACCCACTCACCCACTCACTCACCCACTCGCTCACCCAACACACTGCACATCACAAACTCACCCACTCACTCAGACACCCACTCACCCACTCACTCACTCACTCATCCACTCACTCACTCACTCATCCACTCACTTATCCACTCACTCATCCACCCACTCACTCACTCACTCACCCACTCACCCACTCACTCACCCACTCACCCACTCACCCACCCACTCATCCACTCACTCACTCACTCAATCATCCACTCATCCACTCACTCATCCACTCACTCATCCAACACACTGCACATCACAAACTCACCCACCCACTCACTCACCCACTACCACCACCACCCTGCACATCACAAACTCACCCACTCACTCACCCACTCACTTACCCACTCACTCACTCTTTCATCCACTCATCCACTCACTTATCCACTCACTCATCCACCCACCCACTCACTCACTCACCCACTCACTCACTCACTCAACCACTCACCCACTCACTCACCCACTCACCCACTCACTCACCCACTCACCCACTCACTCGCTCACTCATCCACTCATCCACCCACTCACCCACCACACTGCACATCACAAACTCACCCACCCACTCACTCACCCACTACCACCACCACCCTGCACATCACAAACTCACCCACTCACTCACCCACTCACTCACCCACTCACTCACTCACCCACTCACTCACTCACCCACTCATCCACTCACTCACTCACTCATCCACTCACTCATCCAACACACTGCACATCACAAACTCACCCACCCACTCACTCACCCACTACCACCACCACCCTGCACATCACAAACTCACCCACTCACTCACCCACTCACTCACCCACTCACTCACTCACCCACTCACTCACTCACTCATCCACTCATCCACTCACTTATCCACTCACTCATCCACCCACTCACTCACCCACTCACTCACCCACTCACCCACTCACTCACCCACTCATTCACTCACTCACTCATCCACTCGGTTGCACCCGATTCAAGAGCCGAATGGCTCACAGGGCTACACCAAATAAATGAAACTTGAAACTTGAAACAAGACGGTGTTGAGGCCAGAGCTGTTGTATGGGGGCAAGTGCTGGGCCACTAGCAAGAGGGAGGACCAAGCTGTGGAAGTCACAGAGATGAGGATGTTGCCGTGGATGCTTGGGGTTTAACAAGGAAGGGACAGGGGGCTGAGAAATGACAGAGTGAGAGGACGACTCAAGGTGGTAGACATCACAGAGAAGACGAGAGAGAGAGAGAAAAGGCTGTGGGTGTGGTTCGGTCATGCGGAGAGACACCAGGACCATGATGTGGAGTCAGAATGTGGCGAGTGATGCAAGTGGAAGGAAAGAGATCTAGAGGAGGAAGGAGGAAGAAGAGGAGTGGGCCGATGTGCTGCCTGAGGAGTGGAGAGCAGAGGTCGCAAACGGGTTTTGATTCCTTACCCGTACCCGGCCGCACCAGGGTCGCAAACAGGTACCCGTACCCTACCCGTACCCAGCCGGGTACAGGTACGGGTAGGGTACGGGTATCGGGTACCTGATTGCGACCTCTGGGATGAAGCCATGTTGCAGGCGCGGGTGGGTTGATTCTAGGAACTTGAATTGTGAGAAGAGACAAGACGTTGGGAAATGAGTGACAAACGGTTACTCACCAGTGACTCACGGCCTACCCGTACCCGTACCCGGCCCCACCAGGGTCGCAAACTGGTACCGGTACCCGTACCCAGCCGGGTACGGGTAGCCGGTTATCGGGTAGGGTACGGTACGGGTATCGGGTACCCGGCTGCGACCTCTGGTGGAGAGAGAGATGGCGCAGGACAGGGAGTGTGGAGAAGGTTGGCAAGAACGTCAGTGGGACAAACGCGTGGAAGAAGAAGATGATGACGATGAGTGGAGACTCTGCGTCGTGTTCCGTTCTCGGGAGAACTAGGGGGCGACTCCACTCTGAGCGCCAGGGGGGAGGAGGTTTGTGAAACGGCGAAACTTTCTTCATCACCTACTCATCCCACGCTCCGCCACCATTCGCCTCGTCCAGGCACAACGGGGCCCAGGCCATCTGGTGCGAGACTGCGGCTGTTGTAGATTGAAAAGTCCTGGCTAGGCCTGGTAGCCCCCACCCCCCATGTGGTTAGCCTCACGTGTCACTCGTGTTGGCATCACGCGGACAAAACTCGCAACCGCCGCGTGATGCCAAGTCGGGTCCAGGCTCACGGCCTGCGACCAGAGGCACGGCGGACATGGGCTAGCCGGCGTGCCGGTCGGCGTGGCCGGCGGGTAATGGCCACGAGTGCACGTGCTGCGCTGTTGGCGCGTGTGTTGAACTTCTTTCGCACCGTACGTAAGTCAACCGTGGCGATATCAGAGGTGCAGCGTTGAGTCTATGGGCAGTGTTGAGTCTATGGGCAGTGTTCAGTCTGTGGGCAGTGTTGAGTCTATGGGGAGTGTTGAGTCTATGGGGAGTGTTGAGTCTATGGGGAGTGCTGAGTCTGTGGGGTAGTATTGAGTCTATGAGCAGTGTTGAGTCTGTGGGCAGTGTTGAGTCTATGGGCAGTGTTGAGTCTATGGTGCAGTGTTGAGTCTATGGGGAGTGCTGAGTCTGTGGGGTAGTGTTGAGTCTATGGGCAGTGTTGAGTCTGTGGGCAGTGTTGAGTCTATGGGCAGTGTTGAGTCTATGGTGCAGTGTTGAGTCTATGGGCAGTGTTGAGTCTATGGGTAGTGTTGAGTCTATGGGCAGTGTTGAGTCTATGTGCAGTGTTGAGTCTATGGGCAGTGTTGAGTCTATGGGTAGTGTTGAGTCTATGAGCAGTGTTGAGTCTATGGGCAGTGTTGAGTCTATGTGCAGTGTTGAGTCTATGGTGCAGTGTTGAGTCTATGGGTAGTGTTGAGTCTATGAGCAGTGTTGAGTCTATGGGCAGTGTTGAGTCTATGAGCAGTGTTGAGTCTATGAGCAGTGTTGAGTCTATGGGTAGTGGTGAGTCTATGGTGCAGTGTTGAGTCTATGTGCAGTGTTGAGTCTATGGGTAGTGTTGAGTCTATGGGCAGTGTTGAGTCTATGGTGCAGTGTTGAGTCTATGGGGAGTGCTGAGTCTGTGGGGTAGTGTTGAGTCTATGGGCAGTGTTGAGTCTGTGGGCAGTGTTGAGTCTATGGGCAGTGTTGAGTCTATGGTGCAGTGTTGAGTCTATGGGCAGTGTTGAGTCTATGGGTAGTGTTGAGTCTATGGGCAGTGTTGAGTCTATGTGCAGTGTTGAGTCTATGGGCAGTGTTGAGTCTATGAGCAGTGTTGAGTCTGTGGGCAGTGTTGAGTCTATGTGCAGTGTTGAGTCTATGGGCAGTGTTGAGTCTATGTGCAGTGTTGAGTCTATGGGCAGTGTTGAGTCTATGTGCAGTGTTGAGTCTATGGGTAGTGTTGAGTCTGTGGGTAGTGTTGAGTCTATGGGCAGTGTTGAGTCTATGGGCAGTGTTGAGTCTATGTGCAGTGTTGAGTCTATGGGCAGTGTTGAGTCTATGTGCAGTGTTGAGTCTATGGGCAGTGTTGAGTCTATGTGCAGTGTTGAGTCTATGGGTAGTGTTGAGTCTATGAGCAGTGTTGAGTCTATGGGCAGTGTTGAGTCTATGTGCAGTGTTGAGTCTATGGTGCAGTGTTGAGTCTATGGGTAGTGTTGAGTCTATGAGCAGTGTTGAGTCTATGGGCAGTGTTGAGTCTATGAGCAGTGTTGAGCCTATGAGCAGTGTTGAGTCTATGGGTAGTGGTGAGTCTATGGTGCAGTGTTGAGTCTATGTGCAGTGTTGAGTCTATGGGTAGTGTTGAGTCTGGGGCAGTGTTGAGTCTGTGGGTAGTGTTGAGTCTATGAGCAGTGTTGAGTCTATGAGCAGTGTTGAGTCTATGGGCAGTGTTGAGTCTGGGGCAGTGTTGAGTCTGTGGGTAGTGTTGAGTCTGGGGCAGTGTTGAGTCCATGGGTAGTGTTGAGTCTGTGGGCAGTGTGTATGTTGAACTTCTTTCTCACCGTACGATCGTGACGTCACCACGTGACGCGTCTTACCGGAGGAGCTGCTTGGGCGGCTTCTTGTCGCTGGGGGTGGAGGCCCCCCCCCCCACCCCCCCCACCCCCTCCTCGTCGCCCTCGTCGTGCTCGGCCGCTCGGCCCTCCTCCCCGTGCCGCCTCAACACCAACCCGTCCTCCGACAGAGACCTGCAGCCAGCGGCACCACGGGCACTGATCCACCACACCGCTCCACCACCACACCGCTCCACCACCACACCGCCCCACCACCACACCGCTCCACCACCACACCGCTCCACCACCACACCGCTCCACCATCACACCGCTCCACCCCCACACCGCTCCACCCCCACACCGCTCCACCATCCCACAGCTCCACCACCACACCACTCAACCACTCCCTCACCATGACCCCTCACACTCCCTGCACTACCACACACACAGTGCCCCACTCCCTGCACTACCACACACACAGTGCCCCACTCCCTGCACTACCACACACACAGTGCCCCACTCCCTGCACTACCACACTCACAGTGCCCCACTCCCTGCACTACCACACTCACAGTGCCCCACTCCCTGCACTACCACACTCACAGTGCCCCACTCCCTGCACTACCACACTCACAGTGCCCCACTTCCTGCACTACCACACTCACAGTGCCCCACTTCCTGCATTACCACACACACAGTGCCCCACTCCCTGCACTACCACACTCACAGTGCCCCACTCCCTGCACTACCACACTCACAGTGCCCCACTCCCTGCACTACCACACTCACAGTGCCCCACTCCCTGCACTACCACACTCACAGTGCCCCACTTCCTGCACTACCACACACACAGTGCCCCACTTCCTGCACTACCACACACACAGTGCCCCACTCCCTGCACTACCACACTCAGTGCCCCACTCCCTGCACTACCACACACACAGTGCCCCACTCCCTGCACTACCACACACACAGTGCCCCACTTCCTGCACTACCACACACACAGTGCCCCACTCCCTGCACTACCACACACACAGTGCCCCACTTCCTGCACTACCACACACACAGTACCCCACTCCCTGCACTACCACACACACAGTGCCCCACTTCCTGCACTACCACACACACAGTGCCCCACTCCCTGCACTACCACACACACAGTGCCCCACTTCCTGCACTACCACACACACAGTGCCCCACTTCCTGCACTACCACACACACAGTGCCCCACTCCCTACACTACCACACACACAGTGCCCCACTCCCTGCACTACCACACACACAGTGCCCCACTTCCTGCACTACCACACACACAGTGCCCCACTCCCTGCACTACCACACACACAGTGCCCCACTTCCTGCACTACCACACACACAGTGCCCCACTCCCTGCACTACCACACACACAGTGCCCCACTTCCTGCACTACCACACACACAGTGCCCCACTTCCTGCACTACCACACACACAGTGCCCCACTCCCTACACTACCACACACACAGTGCCCCACTCCCTGCACTACCACACACACAGTGCCCCACTCCCTGCACTACCACACTCACAGTGCCCCACTCCCTGCACTACCACACACACAGTGCCCCACTCTCTGCACTACCACACTCACAGTGCCCCACTTCCTGCACTACCACACACAGTGCCCCACTCCCTGCACTACCACACACAGTGCCCCACTCCCTGCACTACCACACTCACAGTGCCCCACTCCCTACACTACCACACAGTGCCCCACTCCCTGCACTACCACACACACAGTGCCCCACTTCCTGCACTACCACACTCACAGTGCCCCACTCCCTGCACTACCACACACACAGTGCCCCACTCCCTGCACTACCACACACAGTGCCCCACTCCCTGCACTACCACACTCACAGTGCCCCACTCCCTACACTACCACACAGTGCCCCACTCCCTGCACTACCACACACACAGTGCCCCACTTCCTGCACTACCACACTCACAGTGCCCCACTTCCTGCACTACCACACACAGTGCCCCACTCCCTGCACTACCACACAGTGCCCCACTTCCTGCACTACCACACACAGTGCCCCACTCCCTGCACTACCACACTCACAGTGCCCCACTCCCTACACTACCACACACACAGTGCCCCACTTCCTGCACTACCACACTCACAGTACCCCACTCCCTGCACTACCACACACACAGTGCCCCACTCCCTACACTACCACACTCACAGTGCCCCACTCCCTGCACTACCACACTCACAGTACCCCACTCCCTGCACTACCACACTCACAGTGCCCCACTCCCTGCACTACCACACTCACAGTACCCCACTCCCTGCACTACCACACTCACAGTGCCCCACTCCCTACACTACCACACACACAGTACCCCACTCCCTGCACTACCACACTCACAGTGCCCCACTCCCTACACTACCACACTCACAGTGCCCCACTCCCTACACTACCACACACACAGTACCCCACTCCCTGCACTACCACACTCACAGTGCCCCACTCCCTACACTACCACACTCACAGTACCCCACTCCCTGCACTACCACACTCACAGTACCCCACTCCCTGCACTACCACACTCACAGTGCCCCACTCCCTACACTACCACACTCACAGTGCCCCACTTCCTGCACTACCACACTCACAGTACCCCACTCCCTGCACTACCACACTCACAGTGCCCCACTTCCTGCACTACCACACTCACAGTGCCCCACTTCCTGCACTACCACACTCACAGTACCCCACTCCCTGCACTACCACACACACAGTACCCCACTCCCTGCACTACCACACTCACAGTACCCCACTCCCTGCACTACCACACACACAGTGCCCCACTTCCTGCACTACCACACACACAGTGCCCCACTTCCTGCACTACCACACTCACAGTACCCCACTTCCTGCACTACCACACTCACAGTACCCCACTTCCTGCACTACCACACTCACAGTACCCCACTTCCTGCACTACCACACTCAGTGCCCCACTCCCTGCACTACCACACACACAGTGCCCACTTCCTGCACTACCACACTCACAGTGCCCCACTTCCTGCACTACCACACACTCAGTGCCCCACTCCCTGCACTACCACACACACAGTGCCCCACTCCCTGCACTACCACACACAGTGCCCCACTCCCTGCACTACCACACACAGTGCCTCACTCCCTGCACTACCACACACAGTACCCCACTTCCTGCACTACCACACACACAGTACCCCACTCCCTGCACTACCACTCACAGTGCCCCACTCCCTGCACTACCACTCACAGTGCCCCACTCCCTGCACTACCACACACACAGTACCCCACTCCCTGCACTACCACTCACAGTGCCCCACTCCCTGCACTACCACACACACAGTACCCCACTCCCTGCACTACCACACACACAGTACCCCACTCCCTGCACTACCACACACACAGTACCCCACTCCCTGCACTACCACTCACAGTGCCCCACTCCCTGCACTACCACACACACAGTACCCCACTCCCTGCACTACCACACACACAGTACCCCACTCCCTGCACTACCACACACACAGTGCCCCACTTCCTGCACTACCACACTCACAGTGCCCCACTCCCTGCACTACCACACTCACAGTGCCCCACTTCCTGCACTACCACACTCAGTGCCCCACTCCCTGCACTACCACACTCACAGTGCCCCACTTCCTGCACTACCACACACACAGTGCCCCACTCCCTGCACTACCACACTCACAGTACCCCACTCCCTGCACTACCACACACACAGTGCCCCACTTCCTGCACTACCACACTCACAGTGCCCCACTTCCTGCACTACCACACTCACAGTACCCCACTTCCTGCACTACCACACACAGTGCCCCACTTCCTGCACTACCACACTCACAGTACCCCACTCCCTGCACTACCACACTCACAGTGCCCCACTTCCTGCACTACCACACTCACAGTGCCCCACTCCCTGCACTACCACACACACAGTGCCCCACTCCCTGCACTACCACACACACAGTGCCCCACTCCCTGCACTACCACACACACAGTGCCCCACTCCCTGCACTACCACTCACAGTGCCCCACTCCCTGCACTACCACACACAGTACCCCACTTCCTGCACTACCACACTCACAGTACCCCACTCCCTGCACTACCACACTCACAGTGCCCCACTCCATGCACTACCACTCACAGAGTGCCCCACTCCCTGTACCACCACACTCACACAGCACCCCACTTCCTGCACTACCACACACACACACATCACACCACTCCCTGCACTACCGCATACCACTCCCTGTACTACCACACACAGTGCCCCACCCCCCGTGGCCTGCACCTCGGCTGCTGCTGCTGCTGTTGTTGTTGCTTCTTCCCCAGCGCCATGACGGCACCGCCGCTGCCGTGGCCGACTCGGAACGCGACAACCAGGTGACGCGCCACGTGGTGCCCCCCCCCCTCACCTGGCCCCTCCCCTCCTCCTCACCTGGCCCCTCCCCCCCTCACCCCCTCACCTGGCCCCTCCCCCCCCTCACCTGGCCCCTCCCCTCCCTCCTCACCTGTCCCTCCCCTCACCTGGCCCCTCCCCCCCTCCCCCCCTCACCTGGCCCCTCCCCCCCCTCACCTGTCCCTCCCCTCCCCCCTTACCTGCCCCTCCCTCCTCACCTCCCCCCTCACCTGCCCCCCCCCTCACCTGCCCCTCCCCTCCCCCCTCACCTGCCCCTCCCCCCTCACCTGCCCCTCCCCTCCTTACCTGCCCCTCCCCCCTCACCTGTCTCTCCCCCCTCACCTGCCCCTCCCCCCTCACCTGCCCCTCCCCCCTCACCTGTCCCTCCCCTCCCCCCTCACCTGCCCCTCCCCCCTCACCTCCCCCCTCACCTGCCCCCCCCCCTCACCTGCCCCTCCCCTCCCCCCTCACCTGCCCCTCCCCCCTCACCTGCCCCCTCACCTGGCGTTCCGCACTCCCCCCTAGCGGCCCCACCCAGACACCACAACTCCCCCTACTGGACATCCGTGTAAAAGAGCTTTATAGCTCATCGGATTCCTCCGGTGCAGTATAAAAAATATTTTCCGATCTTGAAAATATTCTCATTCTTGTGTTCTTGAGTGGACGATACCGGTAGGGGAAGCGTGGACGTGGAATGACGCAACGGCGTCCAACGCAGTGCACGATCATT